CTGGCTTTATATACCAGGACTTCCAGGGCACGGGGAGTCGGAGACGAGAAAAGAGAATGGAAGAACTAGACGGGTAAGAACTTGAGAGGAACAAACTGAGATGGGGAAGAACTAGGTTGTAGGGCTAGAAGAGAGTACCAGAGGAACGAGATGGAAGATGAGGAAGAGTCAGATGAGGAAGTACTAGCTGGGTAAGAACAAAATGAAAAGGACCTAGATGAGGCAGAGTTAAGACAAGAGAATTAAGATAGAACTTAGAGGGAGCAGTAGGTAAGTATAGAGAGAAATCAGGCAAGAAAGGAGCTAGACATGAGAATAGAACTGAAGCTGGGTATAAAGGATGTTATGCCAGAGGAATTAAAGCAAGTGGACTATAGAGCTCGGTGTGCTGAGATTCTATTTCCCGAAAATAGTCCTCGCCGTTAGTAGTTCTCTCTCCTGAGCCCCTGGGATGTATAATATTAAGGCTGGTCCCGTTAATATTATACAAGAACTAAATTCTTTGTAGCTCTTATTCCAAGTTTCTTTCCTATAATCTCACAGTCCTGTTGTCTACCCTTTAGTGTACAGTCCCATGACGCCGTGGTGTGGGTTGCCTGGGCCACTGACAGGGAAGGGGTCTACGTACATACTTATTTATTTATTATCTTTTTAAGAACTTCATATATAAGCAGTGCACCTAAATAATTCCAGTCTCCCCCTCTCTCCATCTCCTCTTGTACCCCTCCCCTGCTCCCAAAGTCATGACCTTTACAGGAGTGTTTCCAAATTGCCACTGCTCCATTGAATGCTGGGTTTTGAACACAAAGTGCTGAGCACCCAGGGCCAAGAAATGCCCCCTAATTTTCTATTCCTTAAAAGCACAGTGCAGCTGGGCAATATGGCACATGCCTTTAATCCTGGCACTCAAAGATACAGGCAGATCTCTGAGTTTGAGGCCAGCCTGGTCTACAGAGTGAGTTCCAGGCCAGCCAGGGCTACACAGAGAAACCCTGTCTCAAAACCAAAACTCAAGCCAGAACAAAAAGCACAGGGCTGATTTTCTGAACCTCCCTGTGTTAAGTTGTGACTCCTGTGTCTGCTCTTGGGAGTTCCCGGGGGTGGGGGATGGGGGCAGGAGTAGGGAACACTTCACTTTAAACCAATCCCTCTGGGACATGCTCTGGACTTGCCCTCTTACTGTATTGTTTCCTGTTTCCTGTCTCAGCTGAAGGGACCACCCACCTGGATAGCTATTCCCCAGCTTTCCCCAGTCTATTACCTGGAGACAGTCTCCTAACCAGAATTCTTTCTATTTCTGTGGTCTACAGCATTCCAACATTTAACGAGAGTTATGATAGATAACATGTCAGGACATCTCAGATTTCTAGAACACTCATCTCAACGTCATACACATGCAGTGTAATTTAAAGAAGGTTTAATATCACTTATTTCACAATTATTCTCACAGATTGTAACAGTAAGCCTCATTAGTTCAATTCTTTTCCAAATATTTTATATACTTATTTTTCAAATAATTATGTGTATGAATGTTTGCCTGCATGTATATACAAATATCATGTGTATACAGTGCCTCATAGGCAAGAAGAGGGTGTCAGATCCCCAGAATGGAGCTGACAGGTGGTTGTGAGCCACTATATGGTTACTGGGAATCAAACCCAGGTTCTCCACAAGAGCAGCAAGTGCTCCTAACTACTGAACCTCTCTCCAGCCACTGTCTTTTACAAATCATTGGAGACACTCTGAAGCCTCTGGAACCTTCCAAACTTAGTTTGAGATCAAAAGACTTGATTTGGAAAGATTTGTCAAAAGTGTCAGAAGGTTTAAACCATTTCCTTAGGGTCTGGATAGATGGCTTAATGGTTAAGAGCACTTGTTGCTCTTGGAAAGGATCTAGGTTTCGTTCCCAGCACCCACTTGGTGGCTCATAACCAGAGGATCAGATGCCCTCTTCTAGCCTCTAAAGGCACTGGACACGTGTTGTGCACAGATATGCATGCAAACAAAACACCTATACATATAAAATAAAAATAAATCTAAATTTCTTTATAATTTCACTAAACAGGATCATAGTCATTTTGAAACAGGCAAAAGCAGAAAAATTATATATTTGTAAGATACAATACACAGTGCTTTAGAAATTAAGGGTCTCATTTTGTGTTAAATCTTAAGTCTATGAGAACTGAGGAAAAGCAGAGGGAACTTCTCAAATATTATAAAGGACCAGCCTTAACAATCTTCTTCCTAGGGGCCCAGAAGAGAAGCTATGAATGGCGAGAACTACTTTCGGGAAAAGAATCTAAGTACACCGAGCTCTTAGTCTGTCTACTTTATTCCTCTGGAGTAAAATTCTATCTACACAGCTCCAGTTCTGTTCTCGTGCCCAGCTCCTTTCTTGCCTGATTTCTCTCTACCTGTATCTACTGTTCCCTCTAAGTTCTATCTTGATTCTCTCATCTTAGTTCTGCCCCATCTTGGTCTTTCTCATCTCGTTCTTACCCATCGTCCTCATCTTCCATCTCATTCTTCTAGTTCTTCATCTAGTTGTCTAGTCAAAATCCTTTAAATCCTCCCTCAGTCTCTGAGGTTTACAGTTATACACCCCTACAATAGCAGTGCTCTAGCCAAAGCAAGGTCATCAGGCTTGAATTCTTACAGGGTCCTAAAGGCAGACAAGAGTTTTCCTCAGGCAGTGACCGTCAGGCTTTCTTTTACAACCCAAAAGGGGAGTAGTAAAGGAGGAGGTCAACTGAGGGCTAAGATCAGTTGTTAATATATCAGAAAGGGAATTTATGTGTTCAATCTGAAAGGACCAAGCAGATGCCATAACAGGCTGTCAGTCTTCTCTCAGAGATCAGGCCTCAATTTCAGTTTCCTGAGACTTGAGCAAGCAGTTTCTGGGAGGGCCATGAACAGAAGACTGCTCAAAGTTTAGCCAGATGTTTACTTTCTGGGGCCCCTCACCAACTTAGAGTTATGTGCAGTACGTGCTTGACCAGCCAGCCCCCATGGTGGCTCAAGGACAAAGCCTGGGACTTGTGCTGGACTGCCCCCAAAGTAATAAATTGTAATCACCAACCAGTAAATTCAAAGGTTACATACCCTCACCCGTGCAAAACTCCCCCAACCCCCCTGAAGGGCTTGTGGATTTTGCCTTTAAAAAGCTAGCCACACAAAGAAAAAGCAAGTTCCTCCTGGCCTCACGACTACGAGTGAGTGCTTTGGATCGAGCTTCCCTGTCCGCGGCTTGTAAACAGAAATAAACCATGCTAATTGCATTCTGAACCTAAGGTCTGTGGTGGTTTGTCTTTGGGGTCCCAATCTGGGCATAACAAATCTACATTCCTAGAGGTGGTTAGGTAAATGTTAGGAGTCTATAATGTTAGTATAAATACCACTAAGGCTGTGTAAGAAAGAAGAGTCTGAGTTTAATTTACCTTAATTCAGGAGGACGTTTGGCCTTGGATGCTTGATAGGTATTTCAGATAAAATACACTGTTATGAGTTCTTGGAGGCATACATAGCATACAAGAAAATCATTGCAGGAATCAGCTAACAAATATACAAAAGCTGAAATACCACCAAGACTTCTTAAGCCATTGCTTGACCTTCAGAAAAGTCCTTGACCTTTCCAAGTAGTAGCTTTTGTGATGGAGCTGGATTCCATTCCATGTTCCTGTGGCTTGCAGCAGGAACTAACAGCATTACATGTGGTATTTTCAGTGTTTCTTGTTGCATGGAGACTTACTAGAGACTAGGGAAGAGGGGATGACCCCCATCAAAATACCTAGAATTTCCTTTCTCAGAAATCTTTTTAGGTAACTGAAGTGGTCCTAAACTACTTTCAGGCATGTGCCACTGATGAAGCGGTGATTTGCTCTGACATTCCTCATGACTGGCGTCCTCTACTTTAGTAAGAATGAAGAGGAAGAGGAGGAGAAAGGGCAGTAGGAGTAGAGAAACATCTAAAGAGATGATTCAGATGAGCTGAGACAACCACGTCTACTGAGTTCATTGGCTCCAAGAGAATTGTCCCGGAGTGGCGAGGAAGTTATTCCTAGAAAGCAGGGTTTCATCCTTGATGGAGCTACAAATCCAGGTCCTGTGTAGAATCAACAATTGTGTATTTATGTGCTAAAGAAATGCTTATTGTGACTGTTAAAGGTAAGTGCAACCCAATTAAAATTTTCAAATCCTTGAATAGGCAGGCATTTGTTCAAATAGATACTCTACAGATGGCCACTAGTCATATAAGGATGCTCAAAACCTTTAGTTTTACAATCTCATGACTGGTGGGGTTGTAAACTGCTAAGTGTTCATAGTGACATTATTTATGAGCCCAAATGCAAGCAACCTGACCGTCAAGCATTGAGGGTAAAACTGTGATGTATACACACATCAGAATGTTATACAGCAGTTAATGTTCAAGGATGATCTATAGTTGCTGTCCTGAAACTTGCTCTGTAGACCAGGCTGGCCTTGAACTCAGAAATCCACCTGCTTCTGCCTCCTGATTGCTGGGACTAAAGGCATGCACCAGCATGCCCAGCTTCATTGCTACTTCATAACTGATTTTTCTACTGCTACGAATCATAATGTAAATATCTGATATGTGAACTCCCAAAGGAGCCAAGACCCACAGGTTGAGAACCACTGCCCTGGGGGAACAGGAGACAAGCTCTAAATTCTGAACGGGAACAAAGCTGGCATGTTCTACTTAATGACTGGCAGTGTCCAAGAGGACACTGGGAGGATTTGAAGGCTATGGCTACACCATGTAGGGTTGTGGACGTGGAGGTTGGGAGGGGTGGGCTACCAGACTTGTTCTATGCGGTGGGGAGACCTTAGAAGATGACGACGAGAGAGTGGCATATTGGACAGCCAAGGGGAGCTGCCATCTAGCAGTGTTCCTGGTGACTTTATCCCAACTCTCCAGCCATGCAGGCTTTGCTGATCAGACACAGACACTGTTGTGGTCCAGGGCTCTCACATCTTCTGACCCTGTGAGTTCAGACACAGGCTGCTGATGTCACAGAACAAGCTCCTGTGGTGCTTTGTGTCTGCGGTCATTGTGCGGACTTGCTGCTGGACAGGGACACCAGGTGGTTTGTGTCACAAAGACCCAATGCCAGCTGTTAGAAGACCTGATCAGTTCTTTATTGGCAAGGATATGCAGTCTGATATTCGACAAACCTGTGATCCCAGAAAGATGTCAAGCCGCAGACTTAGTTTGTCCCTTGTGATTTCATAAGTGCCCTCAAAAAAGCCACGGGTATGGCAGTTATACCAGCGCCATGACACCTGGATGATGTGGGTGGCGTAACGCAAGCGGCGGTACCGCTGGCGGACCTGCAGCATTCGGACCCAGGACTGAATAGTGACACCGGCCCTCGTTTCTCGTGCCATCCAGCGCAGGACCGTCAGCCGTCTCTTCTCCAGCGTTCTGGCCAGTGTCTGTCTCCACCAGCACTGAATGATCCAAGCATTGAGGGCAGCAGTCAGCAGCGTGCGCCGCACCAGGGTGCCTCGCCACCAGGCCTGGATCTTTCTGGCCTTCAGTACTTTGTTAGATGAAGGCTGTGGAAATGGGTGTTGGGGGTCTAAAGTGAAGAGTGGTTTTGGTTTTCAGGGGTGTAGCTACTGGTAAGTTTACCTTGAACTATGTAAACAAATGCCTCCTCGTGTGGTCACACACACACACACACACACACACACACACACACACCCCCACGGGAGATGGTGAGGGATGAGAGAGATTAAGAAAGAGTATGTGATCAAAGTACATTATATATATTTGCATGACAAAAGAATAAAGATATAAGAGAAAGCCTCTAGAGATCATATTCCCCACAGTATTCTCAGAAGATGCCCTGATCCTATGTCACTAACCACGGATGCCTCTCAAGTTCTCGAGCACTGGGCAGGGCAACAGAACGAGCCACGAAAGCGGGAAGGCACACTACCTCTGGTCTCCTTTGTCTGCCGTATCAGTTAATGAACAATCAGCACCTTAACTTCTGAGTCCCTATGCCCCCATTTATAGCACGTGCTACATTCACTCTTGTAAGTTTTTTTTTTTTTTTTTTTATGTTGTGTCTACACGTATGTTTGCACCATGTGTGTGCCTGGTGTGTGTCCTCAGAGGTCAGAAAAGGACATCAGGTCCCTAGGAAATGGAGTTACAGACAAGTGTAAGCTGCCATGTGGTTGCTGGAAACTGAACTCAAGGCTTCTGGAAGAGCAGCCAGTGCTCTTAACCACTGAGCCGTCTCTCCAGGCCCTCACTTAGGTGTCTGTGAACCTGGCTGGCCAATTTAGAGTAAGGCCTTGCAGTTCACAGGATCTTTCTGGGCAGGACCACATACTGAGGTCGAGGCTTCCTAGCAGGAACTTGGCATTCTTTATTCACTCTGCCTTCTCTTCCTCTACCGCAGTTCCCAGCCTGCTCCCTCCCCCGGTTAAGTCCTAATATTAAATTTATCTCCCCACACAACTTGGGGTCCTGACCTCATCTGTTTCTTTTACTTCCCAAACCTTAAACTTCAGTTAACACAGTCATACATGCACACGCAAGTACACACACATGCATGTGTACACATACCCATACTCTTACACAATCCTGGATGTATGAGTTCATCTGTTTAGATATGTTCCCCAAACACAGATCTCACACCCCACTCCCAGTTCACAGATCATTGTTGTCACTCTCTGGGGCTTCCCTCCACACTAGTCATCATGTCTCAGGCAGATAAGAAGACGGTCAAAGAAGAGCAACCTCCCTCCAACCCAGCTTTGGACAGAGAAACTGGTTTCTTGGTTTCTGATGGTTGCTCTGAGTGACAAGCAGCATCCCAATATCTTGCTCACCCAGATCTGTGTGGAACATAAATTCCATGACCATTCTGTGTTGTAATAATGGAGAAGAGCACCGTGGGCTGATATAGGTCAGAGATGTCACAGCCCAGGGGTACCTCCAACCTTGAGGCCTGGCACCACCTACCTTGGAAGAGGATGGAAGAATTGGCTTTTTTTTCGGTTTTAGTTCCTTTGTTGTTGCTGACACTGGTAGCTCCCCGATCATGTAGATTTCATCAATCGTGATTTCACAGCAACCATCCCCCCTCTATAACCAGAGTTAAAGGAGACATCTGTGAGCCGATTATTATTTGAACAATTACATAACCATTTAAACACATGCCCAGTTCCCCCAGCGTCCCTAGACACAGGACTTATTTCCCGATTAACTAGAAATCCACCTTCTATAACCTACAACTTACACTACAGTGAGAGCCCATGTTTGGAGATAGATGGTTCAAATCTCCCAGGTCTGCAATCCCTTAAATTACCCCATGGCTGGGGTTATGATGGAGCCATCATCTCAGGTCTATACTCCTCCAGCCATGAGGCTGGCAGGAAGAGTGAGGGAAGGGAGTCCATGATGATGTCATAAGGGCGCCTGTGATACAGGAATCAGAATGGCTTCTAAGAGTTGGATAGGATCCCATTCATTCCTACAGAAATTCCCAAAGTTGGGCTACAAGATCGGGATGAAGCAACGCTGCTTCATTGACTAAAGGTGGAAGATCTTAGTTACTTTGATCCAGTTGAAATTATTAAAATTCGTACAGTCTGACATATCAACAGAGGTTTCTATACATGGATCAGTCACACAGTGGATCTAAATAATGAGCCTATGACAAGATGCGTAGCAGGTGTTTTGCAGAGGGAGATTCATGAATGGCTCCTGAAAATATGTCCATCCTAGAGAAATGAGATAAGAAACATGGGCAGCCTTAAAGGGGGGTGGAGGAAAAAGTAATAGTCTCCTGTTCTGTTGGCAGAAGTGACCCAAACTACTACTGTGGAAGATGGTTTGGCAATTTCCAATAATGCCAAATATGCATCTGCTCTGTAACTCAAGGTCCCACTCCTGGGAACAGATGAAAAATGAAACTGTGTCTTCACAGTGTGTGTGCCCAGGCTAAGGTCTGTAGTATGGACGGTACAGTGCTTGCCTAGGAAGCCCTGGGTTCAATCCCCAGCATTCTGTAAACTTAATGTGGCTGTGCATACCTGTAATCTCCGCACCCAGGAGGTAGAGACAGGATCAGAAGTTCAAGGCCATCCATTCTCAGTAACGTATACCAAGTTTGAGGCTCTCTTGGTTATAGCAGACACTATCTTAAAATTACACACACACACACACACACACACACACACACACACACACACACACACACACGACACATGGCTGACAAGACGTCTCAGTGAGTCAGCTCCGTGAGTCAAGTGCTTGTCATACAAGTCCAAGGACCTGAGTTCAATCCCCAGATCCCATGAAAACGTGAAAGGTGAGAACTGAATCCACAAAACTGTCCCATGACGTCCACACGTGCACCATAGCATGCTCTTCGCCAACGCACAATGAGAAAAAAGTGTGTGCACAGATGTCCATGGCAGTTTTATTTTTGATCAGTCAAAAGAGGAAACAACCCAATTGTCCACCAGTATAGATGACTAGAAAATTAATCATATTTATATAACCAAATAATCTCTAGCAACAAAAACATACAGACACACAGTAATACAGTGTGCTAAATGAACCCAACGTAAAACCTTACCTGCCAAATGACTCCTTGGATATAAGATGATAAATCTAATCCTCGGGCAGGAGAGATCCGACCACCATTTACAGCTAGAATAAGGATATAGAGGGAGTGCCTGCAAACAGCACAAGGAAGCACAGGGCAGTGGACTGTGTGCTGTGGTGGGTTAGACATTTCGAGAACTCACCGAATCAAATGCTTCATGAAGCTGCAAAGCAAGCTTGTCTCTGTACTGTTGGGAAAGAGCGCAGGCCAAGCAAGTCAAATGGAAGGACAAGGTCTGTGTTTATATGCATGTGTTACAAATCACTACAAAGGAGGAGGCGGGCATTAGGGCAGAGCATGACGGCACTTGCCTTTAACCCTGGCATTCAGGAGGTAGAGGCAGGCACGTGTCTGTGAGTTCCAGGCCAGCCGCCGTTACATAGTGAGACCTTGTCTCAAAAAACAATGGCCGGGCGGTGGTGGCGCACGCCTTTAATCCCAGCACTCGGGAGGCAGAGCCAGGCGGATCTCTGTGAGTTCAAGGCCAGCCTGGGCTACCAAGTGAGTTCCAGGAAAAGACGCAAAGCTACACAGAGAAACCCTGTCTCGAAAAACCAAAAAAAAAAAAACAAAAAACAAAAACAACAACAAAAAAAAACAATGAAGGACTCTTGAGGACATCCAAGGCTGGTTTTAGTTCTTTGAAGGTCTGGATACTTAATCTAGACCTGTGCATTAAATTTTTTTTTATGTTTGGTATGTGTATATGTATGTGAGTGTGCACATGTGTGCCATGGTGTGCATGTGGAGGTCAGAGAACAACTTGCAGGAGCCAGTTCTGTCCTACCACGTGAGTCCCAGGGATTGGCCTCAGGTCCTCAGGTGTGGCGGGCAGTGCCTTTATCCACCGAGCTAACTTCCAGCCGGAGGCCTTTTCATCTTTCTTTTGGTGATTTCTTTATCTTTTCTATGCAATGTTGCTGTGTCTGTGCGAGAGTGTTGAGTCTCCCGGAAGTGGACTTACAGACCGCGGAGAGCTGCCGTGTGGGGATCAAACCTGGAAGAGAGTCCGGTGTGCTTAACCGCTGAGCTGTCTCTCCAGCTCCTCTTTCTGTTTCTTTTCTTCGTTCCTTATTTATTTATTTATTTATTTATTTATTTATTTATTTGAGGCAGAGTCTCTCACCCTGTAACTCTGGATGGCCTGGGGCTGGCTATGTCGACCATGCTGGGCTCAAAATCTCGGCACTCCCCCGCCTCCGAGTGCTGGAGTGAAGGCATGCCCCACCAAGGCCAGCAGCTGGGATCTTAGGGGGATTTTTAATTACTGCTTTGTTGTATTGCTTCTGTTTAATTATTTATTTCATCCTGGTTTAACTCTGGTATGTCACATACACCTAGAAATCCATCCATTGTTTTTAGATCTTCCAGTTTAGTGGAATGTAAGTTTTTAAGGCGTGTCTTCATAGATTTCTGAATTCCATTATTATCTGTTGTAATTTCTCTCTTCATGTTTAATTCTGTCATCTCGGGTCTTCTCTTCCTTTTCATTAATTTGACAATCTTGTTTATCTTTTCAAAGGACCCACTCTTCATTTCATTGATTTTATTTTTTTGTTCCTATTTCATTAATTTCTATGCAATTTCATTAAATGTCTATCTTAGTTATTTCTCATCATCTACTGCTTGTGGATTTGGTTTCTTCTTGTTTTTGCAGTACGTTAAGGTATATGATTAGCTTATTTATTTGAGATTCCTCTGATTATTTTTTTAAATGTAGGCGCTTAGAGCTATAAACCTCCTTCTTAAGAATGCTTTAAATTGTACCCCATTGGTTTTGGTTTGGTACATTTTCATTTTCATTCAATTCTAGAAATTTAAATTTTTTTCTTCATTTCTCCAATGACCCACTTATTCAATAGAGTTGTTTAATCACCACGCGTTTCTATAACTTCTCTTAATTTTTTCATTGATCACATTTGTTGACAATTTCATACATGTTATTTAATGTATTCTGATCGCTCTTCTTCATCTTCCATCCTCTTCCCTCACTTGTCAACCCCCTTTTAATCTTTCCCTCAAGTTACTGTCTTTCTGATTGACCATGGCTCTCTGCCAGGCCTTGGGAGTAGAACTACCCCCTGGAGCCTGGTGGGTACAGCAGTGGGTAACTGAAGACGCCGGCTCCCCCTCTTCCAGTCTTTAGCAGCTTATAGTTTAGAAGTAAGGGGTGAAACCAGTGTAAGGAATCATAGCTTGTTACCTGGGGCTGTGTGGGTCAGTCTGCCCACTCACTACCATGTAGTGCCTGGAGCTCCATCAGTCTGTGGATCCTCAGTTTACCAGGCCATGCTGATTTTTCCCTTTAGTGTGTGTGTGTGTGTGTGTGTGTGTGTGTGTGTGTGTGTGTGTGTGTACATGAGCACACACACAAGACATGACAGCGTGCATACTTCTGTGAGTATGGATAGGTTAGAGGACAACTTTTGGGAGTCAGTTTTCTCTAGTCCTAGGACTAGATCTCAGGTGTCAGGATCAAGCGCGATTACTCACTGAGCAATCTCACCGGGCCCCTGTTTTTTTGAGACAGAATCTGACTAAGAAGTTCCTTTTGATTTGGAATTCAGTATGTAACCCAGGTGTGGTGGCTTGAATGAGAATAGCTATATTTGAATTTTTGCTTTCCGGTTGGTGGACTGTTTAGGAAGAATTAGGAGGCGTGGCCTTGTTGGAGGATGTGTGTTACTGAGGGTGGGATTTGGGGTTTCAAAAGCCCACACCAGGCCGATCTTGCTTACTGCCTCTCGCTGGTGGATCAGATGTGTCCTCTCAACTGCTCCAGCGCCATGCCTGCCTGCCTGCTGCCACGCTCCCCGCCATGACGGTCATGGAATCGCCTTCTGGGACTGTAAGCAAGTCTCTGACAGAATTCTGTCTTTTATGAGGTGCCTTAGTCATCGTGTCTCTTCACAGCAAGAGAACAGTGACTCAGACAGCAAGTCTTCCTGCCTGATGCTAATACTGGGCTCCCTCGTGTGCGCCACCTCATCTGACTGATATTAAAACTTTTACAGTGAGGCTGGTTGAAATTTGAAGAATCTTTTGGCATTTGATCCCCATTCCAACAGTATTAAGAGATAGGTCCCAGGCTAGGCGGTGGCGGTGCACACCTTTAATCCCAGCACTCGGGAGGCAGAGGCAGGCAGATCTTTGTGAGTTCGATGCCAACCTGGTCTACAGAGCGAGTTCCAGGACAGCCAGAACAACACAGAGAAACCCCGTCTCAAAAAAACCAGAGGGGGGGGGGGGGCCTGGAGAGATGGCTCAGAGGTTAAGAGCACTGCTTGTTCTTCCAAAGGTCCTGAGTTCAATTCCCAGCAACCACATGGTGGCTCACAACCATCTGTAATGAGATCTGGTGCCCTCTTCTCACCTGCAGGGATATGTGCAGGCAGAACACTGTATACATAATAAATAAATAAATCTTTAAAAAAAAACCGGGGCAGGGGGAGAGAGAGAGAGAGTGGGAGGGAGGGAGGGAGGGAGAGAGAGAGAGAGAGGGAGAGAGACAGAGAGAGACAAAGAGATTCTCCGGAAGTTGAGTCGCTGCTCCTTTCCCTCTCTGTTCTGTTGTTGCTGCTGAGAGGCTGACTGACTTCCCAGGAGGTAACTATTGGCTTTATTTCTTCTTCACACATTCCAGC